TTTGTTTTTATTAGGCAGTATGAATCTCCCCATTTCTCTGGACTTGCTATTCCGTATCTTTAATTGTAAAATAAATAACTGCAGGGCAATGAAGTCTGAGTTTAATTCCTTGCAACATATTGTGATTTTGAGGAAATGCTGATCTAAATGTCAACAAGCTCAGTGTTGCTACAATGACATGTTTAGCAGGTCAATAAACAGCATGATTATCATCTTAATTCAGTATGTGTAAACACCTAATCCAATTAACAGCTCTGCCTGTTTCTTTTAGTATTTGTTGATGTATTTTTAATTGGGCCAAGATCTCAGAAGAATTTAACCAAATGACTGATTTATTGGGTCTTGTGAAATAAAAGAGCTGCTCAATGGCGGAGATAGCAGAAGTAAGTATAAGTTGAGGTAGATTTGTTTTTCAGTCAGACCTCTGCCTTTTTAAAAATTTCTGTAGTATTTACATATAAGAAATTAGCCACAGTTTGTAAAATGAATTAAATGTATCATCTATGCCCAGTCAATTAGTTTAATACACTTTTATGAATTACTTATGAGAAAGGTGTTTGAGCTTCCGAGTTAGATAAATCTTCATTAGTACCCAAAAAGTCAGCATATTGAAGCATGAAATTAGGTCACATCAATTTAAAGTAAAAGCTGAGACTTTGGAGTACAATTTACATAACCTGTGTGGTTTATATATTACTATCAGTTGTAATAGTACTGAAAATATTTTGGATATTGTTTGAGAATGTAAAAATGGTATTAGTCTAATAGATTTGCTACAGTAACAGAAGCCTTTAGAAGGAAATATGTTATATCAAATGATTTTACGGATTTACAGCTTTTGATAGAAATTATTAGAATTATTAGAAAATCAACAAAGAAATTCAAAAAACAATACTTCAATCATTAGGATTTTAGAAATGTACAAAAATAGTTTTACTAAAAAACAAAGCAAAGTAAAGAAGTAAACATTAACTTTAAAACATTTTATAATATCTGATTAAAAAGCCCAATTGTTTCTTGTTGCAACCTAAATACCTTTTTTTTTTAGCATGTAAGAATTTTTAGTTTTATTTGTTTTGGCCATAACAGTTCTTCTCTCTCCAAAAGATTCAAATTGGATGTTTCTTAGAATGCATTAATCATTTAAGATCACAAATGATTTTTTGTTTTATTTTTTCTTTTCAAGATTACTGTCTGCATTGATCTTCACAGTTTATTAAACCATACTATTTATATAATCAAAAGCTTATTCTCTTTAAAAGGCTATTTTCATTGGCCAGTAACATACCAATGTACCTAAATTATTGTTTTGGTTTGTTTAGGAATCTTTTCATGGGTTTTCTGCATCAATAAAGGATGAATCAGAAAAAAATGGTTTATCTAAAACATCTGCTGCATCTTTCCCAAGAGCAGTAATGTCCTTCTCAGCCTTTTCCTCAGCATTGTTTAATACTGGTTGTTTTTAAATCACTGGTCAAAACTAGCATTATGCATTGCTTTATATCAGAGCCATTTGCTGGAAGCGTGGCATTAGACCATATTTAATTTAACTTTAATTAACTTGTTAACTCTACTCCATAAAGTAGCCTGACATGACCTTTGCTTTCATTTGGAATTAAATTAATGAAGTGAATTTAATTAAACTGTGTCTGTGAAACCTAGATGCAGTAGAATCTATACTTTCTAGGGAGTTCTCTCCAGTGCTTCCCCTGCAGCCTTGAAATTGTTATGCTTGTGGAGATAAGCATTTCTGATTCACTCTGGTGGCTCCCTTGTTTTTGCCACATTGGAACAGAAACCAAAAACAATCCCTCCCACTTATGCAGGAATGTATTCAATTATTAATGTGTTTGATTTTTATTCTAATGCATCAACGTTGAAGTTGTTGTGATAAACCTTTCTGGTTGTGTTTGTTCTCAGTGAGAAAACGTAAAAATTCAGACCAGCAGCAGTGAACTGAATACATTTAGAGTAACAGTGGCAGGACATGAATAAACAAGTAAGTGAGTTAATACGATTTAATTATTGATTGATCTTTGTGAGAATAAACTTGTAGCCTTGCTGTTAACTGCAATGCTGCATGTGTGTTTAGAAACCGTAATGTTAATACTGTACCTCAGCTTCATAGATGAAGAGGATGATGTAGGTGATTGTGTAGACTGTCATGTAGATGCTGAGTTTAACAGAGCCACTGTGGCTGATCCTCGCCCTAGCACACAACAAACCAAGAAGGTCAGAGGTGAGTCATGTTCGGTGGAAGATGGAAATCCAAAACTCTCAGATGCATTATGAGGTGTACAAATGAAATAGATGAATGTAGGCACAAACAGAGAATATTATGTATCTAGTTTTTATGCTGAAGTAGAGAGCTTAACACATAAACTGAACCAAATGCAACACTGTTTATAAGACAAAGGCAGCTCATAAACAGAGCAAAATAAAATAAATGTATGTTTAAAATATACGCCAAATACCAGCAGGGAATTAAATATGGCAAGTTCAGTCTGCATCTGGTGGATATGGTATAAGGAATATCTTTTTTTTATTTTAGATTATTTCTGAGGCAAAATTATGTTACAGAAAAAACAATGATGAATACTGATTTCACTAAGTGTGCTCAGCTAAATCACTCTCTGAAGTCAGAGGTCAGTTCTGAGAATAAGTTCATGAGCTGAGAGCATAAATAAACAAATGCCACCAGAGCAGTTCTCTAGGGAAGAAATAGTTATAGTTAGGTAATAGTTTAATAAATGTGCAAATTTAGGATGTAATTAATTCAAATATAAGTCCAAGTATAGAATAATATTAACTTCTTTAAGAGTATATAAAGTAAACCCTAAAAATCTGACAAATAAATTCAAGATCTTTGTAACATCCCTTCCTTGAACAGCTGCCTTGATGTGAGGTGGTGAATATTCAGTGCTTCAATTATCCTAGATATGGTTTTGAGGAGATAAATGTCCCTAGTAGGATCTCCCAAACAGCTGCTGAGTGACAGTTCAGACAAAGAGCAGTTTAAAGAGCCTTAATGATGATTAGATAAAATTGAGGCAAGCAATTTCGCCCGGTACAGCGCAACCTCGCCCTGGAGCCAGGTTTAGGCTCATAGGTGAGCACCTGATAGTTGTGTTCCTCCTTGAAGGACCCAGCCCTTAGGAGTGACAAGAGACCATCCCTCAGTGGGACCAACACCTGCAGGGGGAACCATGAGGGACCGGTGCTAAAAGGATTGGGCAGCAGTCAGAGGCGCAGGCTTTGACAACCAGATACAAGAACACCTACGCTGGCTCTGGATTCAACTCCACACCTAGCCTGGGCTCTGGAACTAAGCCCTTGTGATAAGCTACATTCTCTTCTACTCTGGCATGGCTTGGTGGGAAAGGCAGAGCACAGGGGTAGGTCTACTTTCCTCTGCCCAACTCAGCCATCCCATATTGGAGTTCACCTTCAGAAAAGGGGGAGACCCCTGACTGGCAGTACAAAGTATCCAGTCTTTGACTGTGTCCTTGGTGGAGGCGCTTGATAACGTCACTCTCTGGAATTTCATCATTCTCCTTGGAAACCTTCTTCAAAACCCATGTTGGAAACGATAATGACACCTGGAGGGGCAGACCCCCAGCTCTGAACCTGAGAAGTGTTTCAATAGTGGACTTAAGATGAGTTGTACAAATGAAATAGTTCTAGAACTGTAAGTCAGAAATTGTCCATAATGAAGACCATGTCCAAGCATAGGGATGTACATCAGTAACTTGGCACCAGGACACCCAAGACCGGAGGTCCATGATCAACTTTGTATTCATATCGTTTGACCTTCAGCTGTATGTCTTGGTTGATTGGTTGGTCGGGTGAGGAGTGGTTTAAGAGCAGTTTAATTACCGCCTAGTGGTGAGTTGGATACACTGGAAGAGGCTGAATCCGATAGACTCAGGTGGGACATGCAAGAAGTAAGGGTCCGCAGAGAAAGGCTGTCAAAGCCCTCAAGGACATATTCAACTTGCACCTATGGGAGACCTTTTCTCAATTTTGTCTGAGGCTGGGGGCATGGAGTCTGTGTGAACCATGATTTCTGTGTCTATTGTCGATGCGGGCGTAACCCCCAAACCAATTAGGGCTTCTTTGACTGGCATGCAGAGAAAGACACTAAAGCATGCATACAATAGTGATATAACATCATCATCTTGTACCCTGATATATTCAGATATTGCAACATCACAATGTTGAATTAAGCGCTCTGTTTTAACACTATTCTCCTACTGTTAATCTGTGTTCATCTAACATATTCTAAGTTACCACAATGAGTCATGGATAAAAGGCCATTTGTTTTAAGCTTGAAACTCTGGGTATGTATTAGGGCTGGGTATTTAATTGCATTTGGAATATAATTTAATACAATTTAAGAAAATTCAATTTTCAAATTGCAGAGGCACTTAATTTTGTTGAGGTTACATTTTACTCAGAATGTTTTCTTACTCGGGCTCTTTAGGTAGTGGTAATGTTAAAGTGGGTTTTCTGCCACAAAAAAGGAAAGAGAAACTTCCAGTTAGCATGCAGGTCTATGCTTGCAAGTAGAAATAAGCACCCTTCCAAAACAAGATTCTGCAACAATTGATTCAGAAAAAAGTAAGCTTTCAAGGTAATGAAAAAAACAAAACCTATGGAGTGAAACATCTACGGGCTTGAGCTTAGTGCAAAGAAAAATCTAAATAAAATTGCAATGTTTGTTGAAAATAATTGCAATTTCTATTTTTGCCAAAATTTTCCAGCCCTTGTATGTATGTTTGTGACCAGTAAAGATAAATAGAAGGAAAAAAAGAAAAAAGAAAATTGGTGATTCTTAGGAAGGTCTTTGGCATGTTATTAAAATAATTTAAAACTATTTATGGTCATTTACTTTAAATGTGACAGCAAATTGTAACTGCTATTCCTAGATGGCTGCAACTGGCTGCTAGGGACCTTTTTTATGTAATACGCCAAAATTATCTCTAGTTCAGAGTGGACAGAACAGTGACTCCTTACAAACAGACTGAGATTTATTTAAAAATCTATTGCTGTTAAAAAAATTAATTGCATTATTGTTCTGGTACTATATTTTATTTGGTTATGGGTTATAAGTAAACCTCACCTGTTTTAAAGGAATTGGGCAGAAAAAAATGTGTTGTGATAAAGTAGTGATGCAGCCTCACACCCAATTTGTGTAACAATATTCTGGGTACTTTGAAAAAAGATATGTGTTAAAGTACACTTGATCGTTTCAATAATAAAAGTAATAAAACTTAAGAACTCCCCAGAAGTAAACAGTTCAAAAGTAACTGAAACATTTTTTAGGCAAAACCTTTATTATATATAGAAAACGAATAAAGTTTACGCATATTGAAGAAGTCCTTACACAAATACATAAAACATTTGTTGCTTCCTTAAAAAGAACAAAAAAAGTTACTTAGAATATCACTTTTCGACTGAAAGTCTTGAAAAAAAATGCTTTTTGAGGAAAATGCTTTTTCGAAGAACTACATTGCTTTCTAGCAGCATGACCAGTGTATAATGTAATGAGTATAAACAGCAAATAATATAGAAAGGTCGAACCTGGTATGGAGTATTCTACAGTTAAATTCTTTGGAACACAGTTTATGTATGTGTAAAGCATTAGCTCTAATATAAAAAAAAAGTAGTTTCCTGTAACGACAAGAATAGATCATTAGTTTCTCCAAAAATATTACTAAAACTCCTGTCCTCTCGTGAGGACAATACCTTAAAGTTTCATCTTATGAGCTAGATGCAAAATCACACCCCTAAAATGGTCACATTTAATAAGGTAGAACAAGTAAAATGTTCCCTGCTTCCCACCTGGTGACAGTGAATCCTTTACCCAACAGTATGAGCATCAGAAGGAACACCAGGAAACTGATGGAGAACAATAATTTCCCTGGAGACAGACATATAAGTGGAGAGAGAAAAGACAGAGGAGGCAATTAGGTTGTAGTGTCCGAATCTTTGACATCACAGTGCAACAATAACCTCAGATGAGGATACACATGTTGTAGAAGCACACACACACACACAGTCATGCTTGGTCCTCCCTACACCCATTAAAACCATCTACAAGGTCTCTTCAAGCACACATACATCCATCATTGTCCACTCATCCGATCTGCTCAGACAGTGACTGATCTCACAGCGCAGGCTCCATGTCAGTCATTCAGCCAGTGACCGATACCGAAGGGGAGAAACTCACCGAGTATCTTCAGGCTGCCGTTGCCAACTCCATCCCTGGCATACAGGCCCCAATAGACACAATGGAACATTAGGCTGAGCACTGCCAAGAGGAAAAAGATGGAGAGTGGAAAGAGAATTGGAGAGTTTAAGAAAAAGGAGAGGTAAGCAGGCGGTGACGAAAAGGAGAGGAAGGAGGAGGGGATGTGGGATTAAAGCAGAGAGAAGGGAATAGAAATGGAGCAACAGAAGAAAGAAATAAGAGGAAGGAGTTGGGAGGAGGAGAAGGTGAGGTGAATGTAAGCGAGGCAAGGGAGAAGAGAAAGGGTTTGAAGAGGGGGCAGAAGAATAGAAAGTTAAAAGAAAGTAAGAAGTACAATGAAGATAGCATGGGAGGGGAGAGGTGGGGGGGTTATCATCAATAACAACATCCCTCACTAAACACATTGGTCCTGCACATCTGCTTGCAATGATGCCTATTCAGAAGCTCATCAGTGTGATAATATATGTGCTTCTCAAGAGCGGATTAAAGTATAAGGTGCTACATCAGTGGATGAAGCTCATTGTTATCCCAGGAGCATGTGTGTGTGCTTAAATGATGTAGGTGTGTATCTATTTAGGATAGAAACTCTTACCCTCCACACCTGCTGCTGTCATAAACATTTTGTAGGTTGTGTGAAGAAGCTGTCTCCCCTTCAGATTGTCTAGAGGGAGAAAGAAAAAAAACAGCAAGGAGATGATAGAGGTGTGGGTACGTGTGTGCATGGCAGGGCGACAGATAAAAAGGATGGAGATATGCTAACAGATGGCAAAGGAGAGGGAGAGGCGTAGAGAGAGGGAGAAAACAGGAGAACACAAAAGAACAAGGTAACAGGCCAGATAAATAGGGAAAGCCATGATTAGTATGCATCCATCCTGTGATGCTCATCTCCAGATGAGGTCTGATAAGTCTCATCTCAGTTTCTCCAGCCTAATCTGAGAAGAAATATTTTAATGCATATTTAAGCAGCCTATTTTACTATCAAAACAATATGGTGGCCGATGGGGAAACGTATCAGGGGAAGGAGGGAGGTAAACAACAGTTCAGAGCTGCTCTGTCAAACTAGACTTGAATTGTTCTTCCTATTAAAGTGTTCAATGGAGAAGTACAGTATGCCATCTAATATCAAACCACTGACTTAATCATTTTATAACATTTAAACATCTATTGCAGAAATATTTCCTTATACATAAATGGACTAAAAAGTCAGTATTAGACTAAAGTGAGTCAAAACTCTTTTTAGCATCAAACAACCTGTTGTCATTTATATATTATGTGGCTTAAAGACTCAAAGATTTCGCTATAAAACTTTTTTATTACCTTCTTTAATCAATCTGTGCAAGTTTGGGGAAAAGTTAAACTAGTGTTGTTTCTCCAGCTTTCTTTGTCAATGTCCAATTAACTATTGTTATAAAAATGGGCAGATTTGACGGGGAACCAGGTTCCTAAAGTCATGTATATATTATCCCTTTTTCCAAAGATAACTTTGTATCAAAGTATAATAACTTAAGACAGTACACTCATCCCACCACTGAATTTATATACATGGAACCAAGTGTATCTTCTTCCAAATTTTAGAATTTTTAAATAAACAAACATATGGAGTGATAAATGGGATATCCAGGAGGTTGATTAGTTTTAGAGGTTTTAGGGGGATAGTGAAACATACACAGCCATACGCAGTGACATCTCTGCTTGGTTTCAGGAAAAAAGGTGGAGCATGCTATGAATTTTAACCCCAACCAAAATTTACAAAGTGAAATATATCGAGCACACAGCAGAAATAAATAGAAAAAGCAACTTTTCATCTGCAAGTTTGTTTGAACTCATATTCCCGGTGACTTGAGAGTATTTTATCCTTTCTTTTTTATGTAGAAAAATAAATACATTCAGTAAGCTTAAGGCCATTGCTGCATTAATGTTTACTCAACCATCCTTTCACTCTCCTTTCTCTAAAGAAATGTCTCCACCGTGACAAATGCTTAGACCTGAAAGAAGAATCTGCAAAGCTTCACCATTATTTTTTTCTGAGAGAACACGGGAAAGTACTCCTTTCACATCAAGAAAACATGCAGGTTTGATAATAGAGCCGAGGCAAAGTCCATTTCATGATTGGAGAGAGCTTCAGGAGTTGAAGTAAGATGACTCAAAAAGAGAGAGAGATCATACTAAGTACAAAAGGTAGTACTTACATGCAAAGTAGCAGGAGATGAAGAACACTAACGTAAAGATGGCCAGGAAGGTGATGTCAGTCTCCAAGATTCCTGTGAACAAAAGTTGGGGAGTTAGCAGGAGATAAAAAGGAGTTTATGATAAAAAAAAAAAAAATCATTTTAAAGCAATCAGGGAGGGACAGGCAGCAGTGAGAACGTAGTAAAAATGTCATGATTTGAAAGAATAAGCCAGACAGAAGAAACAAGAGAAAGAAGAAATACTGTAAATCAATAAGGATATTGGGTAAGTTTAAGAACTAACAGACAGTTACAGTAATAGCAGAGTGTGAAGGATTGTGGGCTGTAGGAATAATTCATTCAGAAGATACATTGGCATCTTCTTTTCATTCCTCCCTCTCAGTTCATCCATCATCATTAACTCAATCAGCCGTCCCTTCATTATTGCAATTTGTTCAGAGCAGTGTGCTTTATTGGCCATGCTAAGTGGTGCTGGCTTGTGCCATTGGCGATTCTTTCCATAATCCCTCTTGTTCTGTGTAATCACTCTTACCAAACTCATCTGCAGAGAAATGCTGTGTCCAGAAAGACTGGCCGTTGGTCAGCTTCATCTCATACTCCAACTGCAAGCCATCGCCCTGAGACAGAGGAGCAAGAAGAGGGAAGTTTTATTAAAAATATATATTCTCTTCCACCATTACAGGCCTTATGATCTTTGTACAAAATAGGATAAATGCTTTATGCTTGAGTGAAAAATTCTGCAGGTTGAGCTGGCAGGACTAGGTAATGATTTTTAGATTTATTTTAAACAGTCTCGGGGCACTTAGCTCTGTCACTATAATACTGGAAATAAATATTTATTAGAAATACTGGAGGAAAGAAGGCAGTGCTTTACTCTTTCAAAAGAATTCCCTCCACGATGCCTCAAATCACAAACCTCAGCAAATATTTGCACTATGAATCGCTTCAGATTGTAGAAAATACCAGAATGGTTCTCACACATAGGAAGAAGGTCAGACAGAGGACATTTCTGGAGCAATTCGAGAAATTAAACCTTCGTCAGAAGCTACTGGTCATTTTCTACAATGATATTTAGTATGGCATATGTCAGTCCTTTACTGTATGGTTTGAGTCACTCACAAAACAGATCCAAACTGTAGAAAAGCACTCTGTGACCTCCACCAAGTATCTAATTTCCCCCAACATATTGTTACCTTAAATCAATACCTGTATTCTTTTAAATCTTCCAAATAATTCCTGGATCCAGATGCTGATTTGGATCATCAACAACATTTTATCATTTTTTGCCAGTCACAATAAGCACCATTAGTAAAATCTGTCCATAACCTTTTTTAGTTATTTTGAAAACAGACAAACCAACACTGTTGAAAACATAACCTTTTTCAAGAAGGTAACAACTAGTTAAGTCTGCAAAGAGGATCTTGTACTATTAATGTCAGGAAAAGGGCACCTAACATCTCTGCCGACTCCACATATCCTGCACACAAAGTTTTTTGGCTTTTAACTTCAGGTCAGCGCTGCAATGCTCTGCTTTGCACAGATTGTTCCTTTCCCCAGGTTGTCTCTCTGATGAGCGCAATGAACTCCCCACATCCGAGAGGTCAGCTCATACAGTAGAAAAAATAAGTACTGCATCTACTTTAAACTACATATTTTCACAAACTAACGATCTCCCTTTTTTCCCCCTGCATACAGTATTATAAGAATCCACATACATTGTCAAAGCTCAGAACAGAGGACCCAGTATTCAAGGCAAGACAGACAGTGGGATTACTCAAAAAGCGCTTATTACAAAAACGGATCTGCGGTAGCAGTGGCTAGGGCTTCTAAGGCAGGAACCTCTGAGAAACACAGGTTAGTGACCATGATAATCTGAAAGAGGATGATTATGCACGTGAGTCACTAACCTGGTTTAACAGTTCACTCAAGCCCACAGAACGAGGTAAGATCCAGGCGGTGGGCTCCAGTCCAGACACTGCAGCCCCAGAGAACAAGCATGAGACCAAACCCCGAGCAGACAAGTGAAGGCAGGATAATCATGAGAGCATGCTCAGGATTCAGAACCAGGAAATCACAAATCCAAAGAGGTTCCAGAGAGAAATCCAGGTCAGTGAAAAAAAACAGCACAGCTCTAAGTTCATAAAAAAGCAGAATCCAGCAGGAGTCCGAAAACAGGTCAGGCACACAGATCGGATGGGAACAGGCAGGCACAGTGGTTGAGAGGCAGAACAGGGAATCAGAAACACTAAGGTAACACTGAAACACTCTCACCACTGGCTCGAGAGAAATAATCTCGCACTGATGACTGGAGGCAGGCAGCTTAAATAGAGGCAGTAGCAGGTGGATCAGATGTGAAGTAATGAGAAACCAGCCAGAGTTAGACAGGTGAATGAAAGGAGTAATTAAGCCAGTCATCAGTGCCAAGATCATGACATAGATACAGTTTGTGAATTTTATCTCCAATGTAAGAATGTAACTGATGCTAATTATGCTAACTGATTCCATTCCAGACTAGAAAAACACTCAGAGAGTGCAGACCTCCACCAAGCAGCAAATGTTTCCTCATATTGTGACCTTCATCTATTGCTAAAACTTGAATGTCTGGATCATGACTTTTGGATTTCAATGCTGGAGCTGTCAGTAGTCACTGCTGTCACCCTCTGATTTAGGAGGGAACTGCTTTTTTCCTCCAGAAATCACTCACATAAATCTCACAATGTTAAACAATCCTTTTAAAAAAATCCTGTATACTGATTGTGATCTGGATCATCAAAATGATCTGGTAAAAATTTTGCATAAATCCATTCAGAACTTTTTAAGTTATCCTGTACACAGACACATGCAGACAGACTCTCCAAAATACATAACCTCCTTGGTGGAGGTAATAAACCCTAAGAACCTCAGTATGCTGAATACTACAGGCTAAAATGCTTAAAAAAAGATAAAGATAAAACATCTTCACTTATAAAAAGTATCTAACCAATAAAATCAAATTCAGACATCACTCATAATTCTTATATAAACGAATTACTTGTTACACAAAATCTAATTAGCGATACAATGAACACAATGGGCCTCATCCAAGAACTGTTTGTACAAATAAATTTGTTCTTAAAGAGTTTGTATGAGTAGTCTAGGAGAAATGTCTCCTATCTCTAATATTCTCTCAGTTACAAATCAATTTTATGAGTCTTCCAGAGTACATGTAGGAGCCTTGCGCAATCAGTAAGCTGTTATCCAAACCCAGTTCTTCACTAAATGACCACATTTGTTTTACTTAGAAGTAATTTGGTTTTCCAAAATAACAGTAATCCAGAGGCAGCTGTGATCATGGCTGAAAACTTTAATCGTGTAAAATTAACAGCTGCGCTACTAAAATCCACAAATTCATAAAAAGTCTAAAAGGCTTTTCAATACAGTGGCTCTACCATCTCTACTTCGACATTCCTAACTCATAAAAAGCAGCAGTTCCAGGAATGACCTAATTCTGATCACCGGTAAGACCAAGGAAGGTATAGTGCAGTACAGGAGGTTCAGGAAACACGCTCCTCTCCGCATATAGCAGTTGGTTTCTGGGCATTTACATGCCCTCTGACCTGTCTTGGATTCAGAACACCTCCCACCTGGTGAGAAGGCCCGATAATAGATTTTTTTCCTCAAAAACCTGCAAATGCCTGGATTCTACTCTGTTTAAAAACTTTTATAGGGCCCCAGTGGAACGCACCCTTTGTCTCATTATTGCAGTGTGATATGTGAGCTGCATGGCGAAGGAGAGGAAGGACTGAGAAAGGGTGGAGAGGACAGCACAGGGGATTGTGGGACACTGTCTTTAGAATCTGGACTGGGTTTATGCTGCACAACTCTAGAAAACGGCTAGACAATTTGCCTTAATCTTTGCACATAGCATTGCATTTGCCTTAAGAGTCCGTGTCTCAACATAATGTCATTATGGTTACATGATAACAAAAAAAGAATGGTTTGGCTTGAGTCAAGTTGGTTTTCGGCACTTCACAGAGATAGCAGTTATGATTAAAAGATTGAGATCTTCAGTACAAGTGGCTGAAATGAACTTCCTTTACAGGGCAGCTGGGCACTGCCTTAGAGAGGAGGTAAGAACCTTGATGGGAGTATGTGGATTTAGTTTTGCTTTAAAAACAAAATAAAAATCGCATGTCAACACTATTCAAGATTGATATCACAGTAAAACAGATTTATGATTCTAGCCTGTTTCATTTCAATGTACAAACACATAAGACCATGCTAAAAGACATGCTACAAACATATCAGTCAATAGAAAGGTTGTGGCGTTGATTTACATTGAATCACTGTTAGAGGCTGGAAAGGAGAGAGAAGGGTGAGGGAAAAGAGGTTTGAAGAAGGGCGCTGGTAGCAGCAGTCTGCCCAATTTTCTAGAAACTTAATTACATTGCTTAGTACATTTCTAGATCATCCTTGGCTGGTAGAGCAGCCAATAGATAATCACTACAGCTGTCATACTGGTCAACCACAAACTGCTGGTTCAAACTTCTGGTGTGTTTACACCGAACGCTTTTTCTGCTGTAATTTCCATCTGCACCTCTGGGAGTTGACCACAGAACATTTCAGATCCTTCACCGCTTTTCACCATGTCTTGAAATAGGACGAGCTTGAGCTTGTATCTGCTTGTTAATTTTAACTGGTGAGGATTTTATCCTGACCAGGATTTTGTCAAGTGAGTCACAGGGCTTGTGTTGCTGTGGAAATCAGAACGTCATTGGTATCAACGTCTATTGGTCCACATTAGTCCATTCTCTAAAGACAGAACAATTTTTGCGAGTGCTACCAACTTCTCCAAGAGCAACTGGATGACTGTAAAATTCGGTGGTACTTTCTTTTATCTAGCCAGGCAGAGAGCACCTTTGCTTCTGGTTTTATTTGAAGTGGACCTGTGTTTTTATTTATACCTTATTTATATTTTCCTCTCCAATAACAACAAGCTCTCAATTTTTCAAGGTTTGTTTTCAAGGTTTTGTTGTCTTCATGCTAATGGATGCTCTGGAGTCCACATCCCTGTTGAATGGAAAATAGTTTCCTTCCAGCTCCCATGCATGGATCTGCTCAATAGATGCAACTTTCTCTTCCCCTCTCTGTATTGGCAAACCCACTTTAAACATTCTACCGCCATCCTTAGAGATGGATTGAGAAAGTTAGTGTCTTTCTCTTGTTACATTTAAAGTGACAAAAAAGTCGAGTCACTCTGCAATTTAGAAATATTTTTGAATGACAAATGGATATTGTAAAGACTATCAATTGTTCAGCCCAAATTTCACGTGTTGTTTCAGTCCTCCTCACAACTCTGAAGAGACTCTAGACAGATCCAGTATTTGCTTTATAATTTCATTTGTGTCCAGTAAAGGTCTTAACATCCCCTGAGTATTGGCTGAGGAATGTGCTAAGGAGAGGAATGCTTGGGTTTATACCCAGGCTGTTACCCTCACAAGCCAATGTAAGAGGAAACGAAATGAAAGGATTTAAATTGCATTGATTTAAATTAGAGGTAATATATCCAATCTCTATAATTATAGCATATTAATGGACACTATCAAAACAGAAAAAAAAAATTCTTGTTAGGCTTCCT